TTTTGGCATATTTTGCCCTCTGTATTTCTTGTAGTTTGCCACTTGTGCTTCTGTTTTTTTGGTTTTTGCACATGATTTATTCCTACCTGAATATGTGATGAATTTTAAATGCATTTTTATTTTATTCTGTATTATATATTTATGTTGAATACATTGCTTTTAAATATTTTGGATTTTGCTGTTAAATTTTATATGGCATACGTGTTATTTAATGAAAACACTTGAAATTTACGTTTAATAAATAAAGTTTAAAAGCGAAATTTAACAATACAGAAATCAAAGAGTAAGTCATTTTATTACAGAAATTAAACACTAACATAATATACTCATATATGAACATAATATGAACTGAGAAAAAACTGAAAAAATAGAAACAATTAATATTATATCAGAAATTCTAAACATATGCTGCTTTTAAAAATTTTGTGATTTTTCTGTTGAATTTTTAAGTGGGAAGAAAATTATGTTTAATAATGACACAAAAATGCTGTGTAAATCATCTTGTTAAGAAGACATGTATGATGTGTAAATCATTGATATGATGAACTGAGAAAAAACTGAAAAAATAAAAAAAATGTATGGCAATACTTAGTCAGGAATATCAAACATATGCAGCTTTTAAAAGTTTTGTGATTTTGCTGTTGAATTTCATGTAGTACAAATCTGAAGAAAGGAATGTTTAACAACAAAGTTAAAAAGTTAAGTTAGCAGGAGTTAGTTCAAGAACAGATCATAAACTGCAAGCTCAACGAAAGCATAAAAAATCTTCACAAATGCTGTGGTGCAATGCTAAAATCAGAACCCTTTGATATGTTTTTTTATAATTTTCGATAAATGAAGAATATAATATTAAAAAAAAAAAAGCTGGATTGCCATAAGAATGATTCTTCTCCCACCTAACTGAGATTATTAGGTTACCTTCAGACACTTGCTGGCTAGGAAACAACACCATAGCCAATGATAAGACATTGAGTGTGACTTTCGATTCTCGAATGGTTGAGAGGGTTAATATTTTTCTACCTTGCCTAAACATAAGTGAAACCCTAAGACATACTCATTTATAGTGCAATGTTGCTCATACTGGTTTGGGATACTTTTGTTGGTACAGCAGCAGGGAAGAGAAAAAGAATTAGATTTCAAAGAACATATTAATACAGCAAATTGTGCTCTTCCTTAAGTTTTTAATTTGATCAAGCTTATTATTTTTTACAAGGAAATTCTAATTTCGATTTTGATAAGATAGCTGTTATTGCAGTTATCTTATGAAAATCAAAGTTAGAATTTTCAATTTTGTGGAAAAAATTTCAAGATCTACAAAATGAAAACATATTTCGTTCTTGCCATAGCCAGTGGCCTTGCTGAAAGAAAATTCAGGCCTAAGAAACTGCAACTTCAAAATTCAAAACAGTAACCTTAGTTTATCATAGATTTTGAACACTACAGAAGATGAAATTTCCAATTAATGGAATCTGTGAAGAAATGCTGAGAAGTGATAATAAGTGAAGCTGATATAACCAATTTTCTATAGCAATGACTATGCCCTAATCAGCAATCAACTAACAAATAAAATAGCGAAATCTGAGTACAGTTTTAAATCCAAGAAATATTACGGCCGACAGTGAAGAAAAAGAAATTTCTTTTGAGAATGAGAAGATTTTGAATGCTAATTTAATAGGAATGCCTGACACAGCAGTCACATGCTTTAAAACTGAACAAGAAATTAAGCCTATCTATAAAATTAAACAGAAAGCACCAAAAAAATTAATTAAACAGCTTAAACAACTTACATTAAAAGAAATGCTTAAAAGAACAATTTTTTTTGGGAGGGGAAGGCATTAAATTTTGATCATTTTTTTAATCATAAATGTTTTTATTTCATAAACAACTAATTTACATTTTAAATTTATAATTTCTACATGTAATCTTGCTAATTTAGACTGAAAATCTAAAACCCAGAATTTCGTTAATTCTGGACTTCAGACAAAATTTTTATATGTCTACATATAAAAATTGCAAAAATAAAGGGCCAAATAAGTATTTTTGTGGTCACAGTGCCCGTACATGTCTGTGTGTATCACGTCCATTAAATGTATCATAAATTACATTATTTAGATTAATCAATTATATTCCTTTTTAACTGCTGTTTTACAGCTTTTAGGTACTGTAATACAATGATTTTTTTCCCACTCATGTGCAATGTAAAAAGGTAGGAATAAGGTGCCTTTTTTTCTACTCCGGCATGATGGTGGGGAAAGGAAAATAGATTGTCATATATTAAGAAGTTTGCCAAGTGAATTATTCTTGGTGCAAACTAAAAAATTGTGCCCTGATAAATTTTTGAATTTTTCCATAAATTTCACACCAAATTTTACAAAATTTAATATCTAGGCATAATTTGAGTCGTACGATCGAAATATGGAAAAAAATTGGTATATTATTTCAGAAAAGGCCTGATTTTGTGTCAAAATGCCTATGTTAGAATAATGCTATACATAAATCTAATATATATCCTATGTCGTGCTTTCGAGACATGAAAAACGCAATTTCAATTTTTTGAATCAGCCCAGCAAAACGAGAGATATTAAACTGTCCCCACCCCGGGGTTCCCCCCCAGAGTACATACTTAATTTATTTTACATTAGGAAAATTAAGATTATTTTAAAAAATTATTATAAGTTTAACCACTTTCATGAACTATTAGTCTTTTCTTTTTGATTGGTATGATGTCACTTTCATCATTTGAGCTTTCTTGATAAGATTCTGCTTCAATGGTTGACGAATTGGGGAAGATCTTAGATCAACAAGACTTTGTAGTGAAATCCGTAATTAACAATTGCCTAGGTTTCTTTCCTAAGCCTTTGTAAACATCCTCATATTGATTTAATCACTTACTAAGCTCCCGTTGGAATCGGAGAGCTCGTTCAACATTCGTGTCATATTGTAAAAAAAAATTATTACTTAATTTTCTTCCGAATTCCAGTCCTACGCTCATGACACTTGCTGTGAACGCAACTGGTCCAGATTGCTCTTCATCAGAATCATTGCTATCATGTTTATTTGTTTAATGAATCATGTTAACTAATTCATCCTTATTTAGTTATCCATCAGCCATTATTTCTTCAATATCTGCCTGAGCTAAATCCTCAAAACCTTCTTCTCCTATAGTTTAGGCCAATTTAGTGATTTGAGAATATTATGCTTCTAAAGGTAATCTATCATTCTCATCTTTAGCAGCATTCAGGCATGCTGCTTTGTAAATTTCTTCCAAGCATCTATAAGAGTAAGAGATTCATCATTCTTCATTTGTTCTAAAATAAAATATATCTGAAGGTTTGTTTGATAACTAAGGCATTGATATACAAGTGATGATATACAAGGATTGATATACAAGTATTGATACATATTAAAAGTTGAAATTATTCCATGATCGTGTGAGATATTAGGTTAACTGGAAAAGGCAGAGAGATGAAAAACGAGCAAACGCCTTCGCCGGAAATTTAACCACGGACCTCTGGAATATGCACCCAGTGTGCAAACCACGACACCACAAAGGCATGCAAAAAAAGGCAGGAGAAATGCCTTATAATTTAATGGCTGTAATAAGGAAGTTGTACTCTTTGGTAAAAAAACAGCTTCTACATTTTCATGTTGTAAATCTTGAGGATGACCAGGTGCATTATAAATTAACAGAAGAGCCTTAAAAGGCAATCCATTTTTACTTAAATAATTTTTGACATCTGGGACAAACATGTTATGAAACCATTCATTGAAAGCTATGGTAATGATCCATGTTTCCTTATTTGCCATCCAATACACCGGAAGGTTATTTATGTTTATTCCTTTAAATAAGTGTGGTGTTTTTGATTTGTTAATAACCAATGGTTTCATTATATTATTGCCTGAAGTGTTGCAACAGAAAAGAATTTTTATACGACTTTTCGTTACCTTATGACCACCAGCTGATTTGCAAGCTTTAGCTAAACAGATTCTTTCAGGCATCTTTTTCCAGAACAACCCGGACTCATAAGTGTTGAAAAACCTGATCATAAGTGTAGAGTTGGCAGCAATGATTTCAGAAAATTTTGCTGGATATTGCTGTGCTGCATTTGAATCAGCAGATGTACTTTCTCCTTTCAATCTTAGATTATGTAAAGAATGTCTTTGTTTAAATCTCTCAAACCAACCATGACTCGCGGAGAAAGATACCTGTTTTCCATCTGATGAAATCGACGATGACTGTTTCTTTAAGTGCTTTATAAATCAAAGCCTTATTTGTAATAGAATTAGTATCAATTGGAATCCGTTTTTGATTTTGGTCTTCTATCCACATCACAAAGGCATTTTCCACTGTATCATCTCTTACATAAGAAATTGTGCTCTTATTGCTGCAAGTTCCAGCTGCTACATTTTTTCTAATAGAATCTTCGTTTTTTCTAATTGTCATTATTGTGGCATTCATGAAGTAAAATTTAGCAACACCTGTTACTCTTTCTCTATTACGTAGACGATCCAATATTTTAATTTTTCTTTCTAAAGATATAACTTTTTATTTTATTGTTTTCCAAATTTTTTGGCATTATAAAAATCTTAAAAATGTATGTAAGTTATAAAAATGCCACAAAAAACATAAATGAAAATTTACCAATAAACATTCAAATGTGTAGATAAAAATGATATAAGCCTTGCTGCTAAAATACTGATACTGTACTAGTTCACATGAACCAAATAGCTGTATAACACATATACATACTATTGGGATTCCCCTTTTACAACACAGGGAATCCCCATCCTTGTTGTTGCCACCAGTGTTACCAAAGGAATGAGATTCAAAAATGACTTCAAATATATATTCAACTCAGATAATAATTCTTTGTCAAATATATGTATTTGCATATATGGAGCCGAATATACATTTTTACCAAGTTTTATAAATCTGTTAATTTTTAAACCACGTAAAAACCCAAATCGAGGGATAGGTGTATAAGAAGAAATCAGATTACCTTTTACCATATTCATTAACTGCAGCCAGTCGAAATCTGTAACATGTAGAAGCTTTTAATTTTACAGTCTTGAACTGTTTTTGAAGGCCATTAAACAGTTCCACAAAGTTTTCTGATCCATTACCCTAGGAATAATGTTATTAAAAATTCAGTTACAAATTAATAATAGTCAATTTTGCTAGAAAAAAATTTCTACAGAGAATATTTTATCATCACAAAATATAGTAGCTTTAGGAATAGGTTTACGAAGCCCTCTAATTTACATTCTGAAAGGTGCCCTGTACTGCTAATATCAAAACTGCAATGACCAGTCAGAATTTTATATTCTGCCTGCTCTGAAATGACAAAATACTTAGCTAAGGATCATAAAAATTATATATCTTTTTACTTTCTTTACTTGTGACTTCAATTAAAAAGCATCACTTTAATTTACAGTCAAGTAACAATATCACTTAATATTTTGTGGGCAACGTAAATACTATTTTCATCAAGCTACTTGACAAAAATGAAATGAAGAAATATGGTTTGTATGCTGAAGAAATCATACTTTGATGTCTAAGTAGTTTGCCAGTCTATATAGACAGTTATTAATATTTTAAATATGTTCCTTAATGATGATTATTTCCACATGTAAATCCTCTAATTAACATAATGAATCAACTCGAGAGATATTTAAGTGTTTTTAAAATGTTCATAATGCCTATTTAATAATGCCTAACTATTTAATATGAAACAACTTATTTCAGAATGCCCAAGATACCTGTATGCTTGGATTAATGCCCACAGCTTTAAAGTAAACTATTTAGAAGCAAACAAATTTAAAAAATAAATACCATTCACTCCTGACACAGGCCCTTTACACATTATACATATTTTTTTACATCTAACCCTCTGCGGCACGGTGTGCCCCTATTTGGGTACACCTAAAAATTTCCTTCTGTATGCATGAAAAAATTGAATGAAAAAGGATTTACAAGTTACTATAGGTTACTCTGAACCTTCTTTATTTATAGTAGATGGCAGTCCAACACAAACCAACGCATATATTTTACCCATGTTTAGTTTTTAAAGACCCTCATTTTTCAAAGAAATCATCTAGAAGACAAGAACAACTGTATCTTTGTTTCTCTGCATCAACTCGGTCAGCTCATTCACAATAGAAAGGTGGGTCCACATCTGTGTTTCATTTCCTGCTTTTCGTTTTCTTCTTTTTTCTTATTTTTTCGGGGCAGAGGGATGTTTGGTTATCAACTAGGAAATTGTTGGGGTGATTTTCTGAAGGTGAGAGGTAATTTTATCAGTTAGCTGTTTGGTTTTTTACTACAGCAGTTCTATTTTTCTCTTTTGCTTTTGTTCAAAAAAGTTTTGTTAGCGCTCCATTTAATATTTTGGGGTTGAGACATTTACTTAATTTTATAGTTTATAATTTCAAAATGTAAATACAATATTAGTTTATTTTTCTCAGATTTTTAATTATTTTCCAAATGGATTGGAGAGGGCTGACCATTTCTGAAGCACTGAAAGTGCTACATAAATTGCTTTCAGATAATGAATCTGATACGGATCCCGGTACACATGCAAAACATGCAATATTGGATTGTGCTTTTTCAAAGGTGGTGTCACTTTCTTTGAAAAGTATCACCATGAAAAAAATAGACGAAAGTGTTAATATGAAATGTAAATAATATAAACATCATATACCCAAGTTACTTTTTTTTTCCATTCATATGTATGAAATCATCATATAACCAAGAAGAGCTTTTTAGGGGGGTGTAGAGTAGCAGGCCTTCCCATAGCACACCCTGGGTAATGCTAAATCTACTACGGTATTCAAAATCTGTTTTTTAATCATAGGTAAAATCTCTTTTACTCTTTTATGCACTTCCCAGCAATGCTTGTTTTAGCACTCTTTTCGAAGCTCTATTCATTCAGTGTGCTGCTTCCTGCACACCCACAGAATTAAAATAAGTGCTATCTTCACAAAATTTTACCTGTGTACTCCTTTAGACCTGCTTAACCCTTAGCAGTCCACTGGCTCTGCTGCAGAGCCGTCCATCATTTGTTCCGTAACTCCATAGGCTCCGTTGTGGAGCCCAATGTTTTTAACATGATTAGGCTTGAGATGTTAGGGAATCGTCGGCGTTGGCAATTGTTATCTGTAGTTAAAACGTGCTCAATCTCACTAATGTTACGATTGAAACATTATTTGACCCATTTTATGGTTAGCAACATGGAAAAAAATAATTATTGTGATGAGAATATACAGTTGAGTGATATTGTGGAAGACAATGCTGATTATAATTCTGACACTTCAAGTAGTGGTTTCGAAATTATACTACCAAAGAGACGACAAATGGTAGTTACTAAAAGTGAAAGCGAAGAATCACCGGAAGACATAGATGAATAGCGTGATGTCATGGAAGAATTAGATATTCCGGATAGAATACATTTTAGTGTATCGCCAAAGGTCACTGGACCACAAATTCCTACAAATATTGTACAGCCGACACAATATTTCAAATTATTTTTCACAAACGAACTGGTAAATGAAATTATAAAAGAAACCAACAATTACGCAGAAAATGTTCTAAAGAATAAAGAATTATCTAGTAATTCTATTTGCAAAACGTGGCGTGCGGTGGAAGAGGATGAGTTTTGGGCTTTTATTAGAGTTATTATCAATATGGGCATGATACCCCTGGCGAATATGCAGGATTATTGGTCAGTTAAGGAGAATAGTCACATCCCTTTCTTTGGTAAAATATTTACAAGAAAGAGATTTATGCAGATATTCTGGATGCTGCATTTAAAAACACCAGATCCTGCGAAAATGTGCCGGAGTTGCTGGTAGGCAGTGGTACAAAAATGTGCGGAGTGCTAAGGGTTAAACTGCCTATCCTTTTTTTGGGGGGGAGGGTCGAAATTCCAACTTAAAAGGTAGCATGCCGGAAATGCTTAAAGTATAAATCTAGAAATTTCTAATAATAAAGAATTTAAAAAAATAAAAGTAACCTTTCTTCGTACTAATTACAGCTTGATTTTAGAGAGATAAACTAGACCATAGTAAATTAATAAATATATAAGGATGAGTCACAAAAAGTGAGCCAGCCTTATCTGATAGAACTGGTATGAGATTACAGACAGTAATCATTCAGATTTATAACTGATGCTTGCTTGAGGGTTTAGTAACCCAGGAATCTAAAATGACTGGTTTAAACAAATGGTGTGCTTGAAATTAGAACAGATAAAAAAGCAAGGTATAGTAACAGCTTTTAACAGCTTTTGGTAATTTACAACATATTTATTTCAATATAACTACAGTTAATAGTGAGCAATGGACCTCATTGGTCATAGTGAAATGAGAAATCAGATGCTTCAAGAAAAGAAAAGATAGTGACTTAAAAGCAAACTAAAACCATTATAATACACACAACTGCATAATGGGACAAAATAATCAGACATGAATGATGGCTAAATATCTATGAGTTAACCACAGATCTGATATCAAACATAGTTCATTACCATACCACTGTTCATAAACATATGAATTAGTGGCTCCGTTATGCTTTTTGGATTCTAAAGGCTCTCAGAAAAGACCATAAAAACAAATCATATTCTGCACTGATGCATCTGCTACAATATCACTGTGAAGGTACTATAAAGAATTGTCATTAAAAATGGTGCAATTACTACAAGCTTTTAAATACGATAACAAAGCCTACAATAAAACCAACTTCTATCACCAATCCAAAGAAAGATCACTTTTAATAGAAAAGAACAATTATTTTGTTTGTTACGGGAGGTCATAACTTATTGAATATGCTGAAGATGGTTAAGTTATAGTAACAAACACTACTGAGAAATTCTTGGACACAATCAAGAATAAGCACACATTCACTGATTTATTAAGAAGGCAATCTTCTAGCATGAATACTTTTTGCTGTGAATTATATCTAACTGCATAACAATGAGTAATCTCATGCAGCTTTAATGACTAAAACAATATAAAAGTTAGACAGAAAAGAGAAAGTACTGAATAATTTCCCTAGAACACAGACATTCTGCTATGAGATTTTCAAATTTTTTCATAAACCAATGTAATATCTAAAAAGGTAAGGATATGCTCTGGATGATGATATACAAGTGACAAACACACTACTTAAAAATTAAAAATTAAGATTTCTATGAGCATGGAATTACAAGGCACATCGCTCTGTAAACAAATTCTTCAAAGCTAATGATAATCCCCCTCCCATATAATGATATATCTAACACAATTTCCTTGTTCCAGTTTCACTTTACTTACCTTCATGTAAAACATACAAAAATAGTGAAAAGTTGTAAAAGGGAGAAATTTAAAAAACTGTGATACTCAAGCAATTGAGAACTAATTATTGAATACACTGAAATAATTTTCTTACAATGTATTTTAAAATACCAGATATAAGGTTTTGATAAAAAAGCAATATATAAAATTGCAATTTAATGACAGGTATTAATTAGTCAAACAAAAATAAGCTAGAACAATTTTCAATAAAATTCAAACAATCTACAAGTTCAAGCAATCAATGACTTGGAACCAATCACTAGATTTTTTTAATTGTGATGAAAAATTATTTTGATAACATATTCATAAAAATTTTTTTAAATCAATATAACATGCAATATTCATATGACAAAAATTATTAAATAAAAATATGTTTCGGATAGTCATGACAATGTGATGAAAATAGATACATAACAAATACAAAAATTTCAAATTACCTCATCATATTCCAAAATATAAGATAAAATCTTGGCACCATTATCAACAGCTGCCTATAAATGCAGAATTTATATTTGACAATTTTACCATGATTATAACATTTACATTTAATGTTATAAAATATTTAAAAATTTACATTTATAAACCCAACAAAAACTAAACACTCAAAATTAAAATACTATCAAATATAATAAAGAATTTTTGGAAAATCATAAGCATCAGAAGCCACCTTGCAACTATAAATACATGCTTCTTTATATTTGTTTATATATATGAATATAGCAACAAATAAGCAATATATAACAAATATGCACAACCCCCAAAAAAACACAAAATTACAGTTCCACATATTTGTGTAAAAAATATACATAAAAAAATAATAATTCAGCTTTTTTCCATTAATTCTCAGATTATAACAATAAGTGTATATTATATTTTCCAAGACTATTAATAAAATAAAAATTAGTGACAAAAACACTCTTACTTGTAAATCTTTCAAGAAATAGCGAAAAAAATCAAATTATTTTAGGGGAAAAAAATTTTTAAAGAAAAAACTACAAGATGCATTTAAAGCACATTTTATATAACTTTAAATATTATTTATTTCTTTATTTAAAAAAATTAACTTTATTCATAGCCACAGAATTTTAAGAAGTCATGAAGGAACCTACATTCCATTTCAGTGATATAGAAGTTTTAGCTCGAGATAATAATTTTGGAGGTTGAGGAACATCTGGCTTGCAACATAAAGTTTTAAAAGATATGCCTGGAAAAAAAAAAAAAAAAAAAAAAAGGAATTGTAAAATCAAATACTGGATAAGCATTTTCTTATTCAAGAAGCATAATTTACTATCAAGAGTTTCCAGTCTTACCAAAAAGACACAAATAATATATTCACCACGATGAAAAAAATTAAATTACATATTTTTGCACCACAAAAATTCAAAAGAATTCTGCAAGCATTTTGGAAATAAATCTATAAACAGGGTTGCCACTCAAACAGGAGAATGAAATTCCCAGAATTTTCCAGACGCATTTTAAGAAAATTCCACTCTATCAAGGTAATGCATGTTGGCTCTGCATACATGTTGGCACTTTTTTTTATAATATAAACGTTAGTTTTTCTTGCTTTGCATGGGACGCTGTAATTTTGTCTGTTACTTATTAAAAAATTTCCCATTGTTCTATCTTAAAATTAGAAATTAAAATTAATGACCTAAAACTGCAACAGTATATTACAGTACAAGTGAAAAAAATGACAGTTTCACTCACGGGTGGGTGTGTTGGATTTGCGCAATACTTACGGGGTCCCACAAAATTTTTGTGGGTTCCTGGTGGTCTCAAAAAAATCTTAATGATAAAAAGGGGTCGCGACTGAAAAAAGTTTAAGAAACCCTGGCCTAGATAACTGGTTACAATTTTTTTATTTTACTGCAAAATGACAAATAAGGCATTTTTTAAAAAGAAAAAAAAAAGGTTTAAAAAGATTTTGCAGTAAAATCCTAATATATGCTAAGGCCTTGGGCATGAATTTGAAAATTGTCGCCAACACCAAAATGACCAATTTAATGTTCATGATAATGTCGTCAAATCCTGTGTATACTGTGCATGGAGGTTAGCAGGCCCCCGCCAAGCCTAGTCGGAGCCATCGTGCAAATGTCTAGTGAGCGACTTTATGCAGTGACAATATTAAAGGAACATTGCTTATAGTTAACATTTAAAATGAAGCATTATTAACATAATAATATGAAAAAAAACTTTATCTTTTAATTTGTCTAAATATGCAAACATTTTGTGCTTAGTTAAAACCCCCACACAAACATATTTATTGAGGAATTATACATATATTTATGTTATAAAAATCTGCCCAACTGGTGTAGTGGTTAGCATTGCTGACTGCTGTGCCAAAAGGCCTGGGTTCAAATCTCGGAGAAGGCATGCATGTGTTTAAATGTATAGTGTCCATGCAGCATAGGGGCACTTTAAATATGCAAGGCAAAAGTCCTCTTAAAAGGTTGGTGGTAGAGGAAGAAAGGTGGGAGACGCTCGGACCCATCCCCCCACAGAATGCTCTCCATCAAAATTGGGGGTGAAACTCAGCTAAATCGCACTGTCACCAGTAAGGTGCTCAAGGTTGTTGCCAACGGCAGGCGAATCGTACGCTTCTTGCCACAAGGAATTTCGTGGGCTTGGGCTGACTATAGTTAGACAAGTGAGCATTAGTCAACAAGAACATGTTATAGAAATGTAACACTACAAGCGAAGCGAAATAATATACTAAATGCATTGGATATATTGCTGAAAACTATTTATTATCTTAAAAACAAATTAATTTAGATATCTAACAAGTTTGCACTGAATAAATTGTTTTTCGCAAAGTAGTTTATGACAAGGTTCAAACTGTGATTACAAAAGGGTACAAAAACTGCTCAAGGGCTGATAGCTAGGGATATATCTAAATTCCTTTTTGCACGGCGTTATGTTTAACTACGATACAGCTGAGAGTTTCAACAGGCGATGCTACATTTCCTCCAAATGTTTGCGAAAACTGCAGTTCTTGCATAAGATCTATTTTGTTTATATTGTTTTGATTTTTATGTTTATGCTTTTTGCAATTTTTGCTGATCTTGTAAATATACGCGAACGAAAATACATGATGCCAATGCGTACGTAAGGGTACAGGCTGACACCATAGATACGACCGACAAATTGCTTAGTCCTCATTTTGTGTCTACTGTTGCAATCATAATAATTTGTACAACATGTATCATTTTTGTGATTTTTGTTGGGGTCATTGCTTGTTGCTATTGTTATTCTACATAAAAAATGTAAGCGGAGTTACATATTATGCTAAACTTAGATTAGCTTTATAGTCAGAAAAGTGATGATTTGAGCATAATTACTCGAAAAATGCTTTTTTTACATGAACCATTTGTTTATTAAACTAAAAATTATTATCTTTCGAGAAGAAAGGACTGACATACTTACGGAGTACCACTGAACTTAAAATGTACCTATTTGAGATTTGAAGAAGTAAAAATGTGTTTTTTACTTCTTCAAATAAGGTATTCAGAAATCAAAAATTGGCCTTTTTCAAATTTTTAGCTATATGGAAAACCAAAAGAAAATGTTTCATTATTTCACTATGTCTTAAATACATACTTTAAATTTGATTTTATTTACTTTAATAAACAAAAGAGTACTACCATTTCCTTGAATTATTTGGTGTTGATCTAATAGTTCACATATTTTGCAAGCAACAGTTTAAGATATACTCAGTTTTTCAGAAGCAAGATAAAATATTTCAAACAGTGACTTTCCGAGTGTTTTTAAGAAGTGTTTTATGCAATAGTTCTTATAATAGTTATTTTCTACTTTTTTCAATTTTCCCCAGATGTTGGAAGAAAAACAGAAAAAACTGTCTGAGTATCAGAATGCAATTAAGAAAGAGAAAATGAGAGGAAGACTTAATAAACCAGAACTTTAAAATTACTCAGTTTTTCCAAAATCAAGAGAATACCCAAACTGAAACAACTAGCACTAGTTGTCCATCAACGTCTCAGCTACCACTGAAATTACCAAAAGAACCTAATAAACAGAAAGAGTTAGAAAGTGTTTTCACCCGGAAATTACCTTTAACTTCAATGCAGCCGGGCGAAAAGACAGAAGAAATACTAGTGATATCTACACTTTCTGCAGCAGATATGCCTTTGCCTGTGCTTGATGATTCCGGATTATGAACAAGTCCATTATTGCCATCCCAATTTCTAGCATGAATAGAAAATAGTCCTGGATAACCTGGTTTCAAGTTTCATTTTCGCAAAAAACAAAAATGGATGTAATTTTTTTTTTTTTTAGATTTACTTTTGTTGAATCTTGCCAAACAACGAAAGAGTTAAAAGGGATTAGTAGCTAAATTCTGCTGAAAAAAATTCTGTTTATTGTTTTTGTTTCAAAATTTTTAACAGTTTCAGCAATGTAAAATTGAGTAGTTCTGAATGTAATGACCGGAACCACTTAAATGAGCACTTCATGAAAAAATAAAATGCATTTCCAGAATCTACGTTTTTGGTCTGATTTCTTAGAAGGATTACAAAAGAATAAACCTGTTGATTCGAAATTTCAAAATTTTTATATATATATATAAGACTAAGCATTGGTGCGATGTTATTGAAAGAATTATCTATGCTATTCAGTTTTTAGCCAAACAAAACTTAGCCTTCCGTGGTTCCAGACACAAATTATTCAAAAATGATCATTTTTTAAAGTGTATAGAAATTATCACAAAATTGGACCCTATCATGTCTGTACACATTGATAAAATTCAAACTAAAAAAAAACATGCTTCATTACCTTGAAGATAAAAATCAAAATGGAAGAATTAGCTTATTAGAGGTTAATATAAGTAAGGTCAAACAGGCAAAGTATTTTTCTATTTTACTTGATTGTACCCCATCAAGAGCAGATATTAATTTGTATGAGGTATCTTAATTTAGAAAATACAGACATGAGTATTGAAGAAAGGTTTTTAGTACGCTGTGTTACAACAGATACGACCAGTGAAGGACTTTAGAGGAAAATGGTTTAGATATTAGTAATTTATATGGCTAAGAATACGACAATGGTTCAAACATGAGAGGTAAACAGTTTTTTAGTAATTATGCTTAAATCGTTGCTTTCCGAATTAAAAAGTTAACCTAAGTTTAACATAATATGTAACTGCACTTACCTTTTTTTATGTAGAAAAACAATAAAAACAAGCAATCACAAAAAGATAAATGTTGCACAAATTACTACTATTGCAGCAATAGACATAAAATAACGATTAAGCAATTTGTCGAATGCATCTACCCTTATATACGCATCGGCATCATGTATTTTCACTTTCAAATAAGGCAGACGAGAGCATGGCAGGACACCCAGACGGCTTTCTACGACTACTCGGGTGTTGTCAGAACCCTACAATTATCTTTTACTATTATACTGCAATAGACATTTCACATTGCTTAGAGTAGCTATACTAATTAAGTATAGTGAATAGTTCAGGAGTTAATATCTGCACTGTTACAATTGGAAATAGTACATTGCTTTAAAGTGAGAAAGAGCTTTCATGTATACAGGCCATCATTAGTATGGTATCACTTTGTGGGTATCACTAGTACACAAGAAATGTCAGCAGATTCCAAGGCAAACATACATTATGGATAACAAAGGCCCTCCAGTTTCGGCAGCGCCTCCAATTTTGTCATAATACTATGCAGTATTTTAAGCAATGAGGGCTGCTCAATCAGGAAGCATTTGAAAGCGGCTACCTCCGTTGTAGGCAACTTAATGTGCCAATCCTTAGTCAGGGAACACTTGATGAGGTAGTGGTCCAGAAGTCCTGTATCACCACCACATATGCAGATATCTGTTCTGCTTATACCTCTTTCCACAAAGTAAGAAGGGAAAGGGCCATGCTCCATAATGAATCTTGTAAGAAAAAGGGCTGAAATAAGCTGATCTGTGCTTACTTTATAAATAAATTCGTAGGTACTTCGGCTTTTCTGTGTCGTTACCCAGTCCTCTAGCCACATCTTTAGTACTGTTGCTGTTGTCGTGTGGTTCCCCCCCCCCCAAGATGGGATTTAAGGAAACGGGATTGCAATATGGGTTGTATTGATACTTTGTGCCACCTCCTTAGCCAAGGCATCTGCTTGCTCATTGCTCTGCATACCAGCATGAGCTTTTACCCAGGAAATATGTATTCTTGTTGCATTTGCACTCCTTAGCAAATTCTGCACATCCATAATTAGTGGTGCTGCTGGATGTGTTGGATTTTTTATGGCCTGAATTGCCGATAAGATATCGGAGAAAATGGTAACCTGTCTGCTCCTTTTGTGAATTGACCATGTGATTGCTTGTTGTATTGCCATAGCTTCAGCCTGGAAAACAGAGTTTTCAGGGATAAGATGGCCTTTCCATGTATCTATGACTGCACCTTTTCATAGGCTACAAAGGCACTCCCAACTTAGTCTTCCATCTTCAATCCATCTGTAAAGATTGTGGGAAAATTACCTTTAACACTTGGAGTGAGAAACGGATTATAGAAAACTTCTACTCCCAATTCATACTGGGATGGGTGAATGGCTAGCCTTGCACTTTTTCATAGTTTAGACACTCATAGACTACATCTCCATGTGTGATGCTGATCCTGAGCTGTGACACTGTTGAGACAACTGCTTCCTGAACTGCCCTTAGTGGAAATGGAGTGAGTCCTGACAGCACCAACGCAGACATAGTCGAAGTTGTGTGATAGGCTCTTGTTATTGCTAGTGCAAAAGGCCTCTGCGAGCTGTAGAAGATCCGCTCCTTCCTGGTGGTCACTGGAATGGCCCAGACTGCCGCCCCATATGTTAATATTTTTTCCACAACTGTTTGGTATAATCTCTTTAAAATGTAAGGGCGTAAGCCCCAGTTTGCACCCTGCATTTTTCGCAGGCCGTTAGCTGTGTGATGGGCTTTCTGTCGCTGCTGTTTAAGGTGTGGGACGCAGTAAAAGTCTTCATTCAAAACCATTCTGAGAAGTTTCAACTCCTTCACTCTCTTGATCATTCTGCTTGCCATTGCAATACATGGGTTTCTAATGTTTGCTTCGGTTTATGGTACACAATGTATTTCGACTCTGCTTCTGAGATCTTTAGTTTTTTCTCTGTACAGAGGTTGGCGAAAAGGGAGATTGTCTCGTTGCAGTTGTTTTGAAGAACGTTCCTAGACTTACCACAAAATACGAAGGTGGCATCGTCGGCGAAGGCTATGACCTCAGTGTGTGGAGGCTAGGCAACTTGTAAAATTGAATTAAAAGTGATGTTCCAGAGATCTGGACCTGCACATGATCCCTGCAGACAGCCTCGTACTTGCTTTTTTTAGAGGATTCCTCTGTTGTGTACTGCTATCAAAACGCAGTCGCTTAAGTAGCTCTTGAAAATTTGTAGAATATTATTAGAGATTTCTACATTATGGAGTGCCTTTAGAATTGTCAGCCACCACAGGGAATCAAACGCACTCTGTTGGTCCAGGCTCAAAACCGCTGCATGGAGCTTATTGTTTCGGGCTTCTGTGATCGCTTTGCGAACTCGGTCAAGCACATGAATAGTGGAGCAATGCTCTCTAAAACCAAACTCTTTATCTGAAAGGGTACTGGTACTTGCCAAGTGATATTTATGTATCTGAATAGTTAATTTTCCACAGAGTTTTCCAATGCCGGTAATACATATATTGTGCTAAAGGACACTGGATCATTGGGATGTTTCCCTTCCTTTGCAAAAAGAATAACCTGCCCCGTTTTAAAAGCCCAAAGAAAGTACTCGAAGCTCATCAGCTTGTTGTAGTAGATGGGCAGGAAACTCGGTCTTGGTGTGTGCAGTGCTTTGCCCATTCCGTATTCTATAGAATCAGAGCCTGGGGCTTTATTGGTCGGGAGGGTTCTTTGTAAAAACTTATATTTCCTGTGCTGTAAAGGTGTTTCTGGTAAGATTATAAGCTGGATGTGGATCCAGAGTATCTTCTACATCATTGCCAGGAAAGACTACCTCCAGAATTCGCTTAAGAGTATCTTCCATAATTCCTGTTGAGATTATGATAGCACTTTTGATACTTGTAGTACTGGGGGGAGGGCTTGAACACCTTGTCTAACATGATCTTATGAAGGACACCATAGACCTCCATGGTTCTTGAGCAGAAGTTCCTCCAGCTTTTAAGCTTCGCTCCAAGGATCGTTTTTTTATATTGCGTGTGCGCTCTATTGTTTGCGATACCGAGATCTTGTCTAATGGTGACATCGCGCTCCTTCTTCATCCTCCTCCGCATAGCTCAAGTTTTACTTCTTAGCGCCCTTAATTCCTTGGTCGGCCAATTTGCTGCATGGAGAACTTTCGGAGCTTTGAGTCTAAATACACAGTCGCAAGTGGATTGCATTTCCTTTATCAAATTGTAAGTAATGTTATCTGCTCGGAATACCTCTGCAGCCAGCTATATCCTCTTCTACCTGTGCCAGTGTTGAACCAATTTTATAAATAAACATCGGAGCTTCCTCTTTGACATTTTATATCTTTTGATGACATATCTGGAATATGGCTGACAGATATTGTAGGTGACATACCTATGATCCAAATTGGAGGGGGTATCTTGCATAGTCCAATTCTGGATTTTTGGTGCCAGGGCTGCCATAGTAATTGTGAGGTCAGGCCAGGCCTTCCCTACAATAGTTTCAAACGTTGGTAGACAGTTTGGAACATTGTGTAACACTAGATCGTTGAAATTCGCAACTCCTCTGCCCCCTTTCATCCATGCTGGGGTAACACCATGCTTCAGAGTGGGAGTTGTAGTCTCCAGCCAGGATGTGATATGCTTGTGTGAAGTGCCGAGCTTGTGCACTTTCAAATAAGACAGAAGAGAACATCAGAAACAAACTCCTGCCCTGATTATAACTTTTGTTCAAATAAGACAGTGTACTAGGAGAAAGAGGCCCTTAGACCCAGCAAGCTGGAGGCTGCCTTAACACAGTTAAATGCCCCAACACCTAGAGGCAATCCAAGAGGTTGCTAACCTATAGGTCGACTCGACGAGCTAAGATTAATTTGAATCAACAGGCATACTCAGCAACTCATATTCCATGTCCCCATTCTGAAGGGATAGTTAAAACATCTGCCATCAACAGGGGCTCCCAACCCCGGACAGCAGAACGAAGTCACTGATACTGTCATACAGACCGGGCAACCAATCCGGTCTGCTAACACTATGTCATGGTATACAGATGTCGGCTTTAGGTGCCCCCAAGGAGAAACAAAAGATGGATATGCAGTTTTGAGGCTCCGGGCACCCACTGGAAACATCAAGCAGTTTAAAGGCTCACTGAATTTGCCAACTCCACCAACAGGGCTGTTTAGCCCCAGACAACCATGAATATCTGACTATATAGTGACAACCACAACCAATGGAATGGATTAGAATGCCATATGGTCTCCGCTAAGCCTGTCTCCACAGGACTGAAGCCACCACTAGCAATGCCTCCAGTCCTGTGGAGACTGATTTTACACACCCATGGCCAAGACTGCCTAGATACAGATCCTAATCAGTAGTTTCCCCGGTTTTACCTCAGTCTACACCCCCCGGGGGGTCATTCAAATAAGACAAGAATTTACTTGTTCAGACAGGCAGCAAGACAAACTACTGATATTAATGGTTGCCCAGCGCCTTTTTGACTCAGTGACCTTGAACCTATTGTTGGCGAGGGCCTAAAGGTTAGAACAGAATACATGGAGGCTATTTTAACCGCCATGGCAACATATACTAGGATTAAAAAACCCATTTTGTTTCATATGAGAATACACATTTTTTCTTCAGTTAAATATGCACTGCACATGCACATACGAATCTCTCAATTCTCGAGATTATTGGAAAACAAAGTTGCTGGAAACTTGCTTTGCTTTTCTAAAAGACAATCTAATTGGAGCTGCGAAAATTAGTTCTATGCCAGCTGCCGGATTGACGCTCACATGATACATAATTCGCCAAGAAAGTCACTGCTTCCAAAGCTCCCTTTTTGGGTGGAATCACCGTATGAAATTTCCTGACTTTTCCCTGAATTTTTTGGTCAATTTTCAAATTCCCTGACTTTTCCGGTTTTCCAGGTAGCGTGGCAACCCTGTATATAAATAAAAAATACATATGCATGCAATATTGCTAGCTATATGATACATAACATGCTGCAAGAGCTCCATCTGATTACATGCTGACTGATAACAAAAAGTTACAATGTATTGAAACATTAAACCAATAATTAATGTGTTACTGAAATCTAAATTTCCCAGTGTGACTGGATCAGAAATTAAGACTTTGAGCACAAAATAATACAAATAATTTTCAATATGCAATACGAAATATACAGAATAAATGTCTTTATCAGATTCACATTTAGACCCAAAATAAATATCTGCATTATATGACTGAGGAGTGTATTAAACAGTTTCCTCACAAAATTTATTTTAGAATAATGATTTGTACAGTTGCAATTTTTACATTATTCTCTAAAAAGTAAATATATAAACAAATGCATTTATAAAAACCTTGAAGTAATCTGATTAAATTTTATATAAAAAAAAAAAATTATAATGCCTTGTTTATATAAAACTGTATAAAAAGAACTTTTATAACAAATGATTTCTCTATTTAATAAAACGATTTTGACAGGTCAATCCATTTGAGAAACATAAAATATTTATTGAAAATAAGAGGATACATAAAAAAGCTCAGAAAATGCATCATATGAACGTATCTATTCTTTCAAAAATATGATAAATTATTCTGCATTAGACATCAGCCACATCATGAAGATAGCAAAGCAAATTTTAAAATACTTCATAGCTTACTTTCTGAAGGTCTTCCGGTCACATTATTCAGCTCAGCTTGAATACTATAAAGCAAATTATGAAATACATATATTAATTCTTGTCTTAGGAATATTGTTTAAATATGTTTTCTAACACAGCTTTTAAATATAATAAATTCAAAAGTATTATTTTTAATGCCTATAGCACTAGAGACAAGACCAACACACTCATTAAACCTTTAAAAAAATTATAAACCAAAAATATAATAGGTTCTTCTATTGTGTAAAGGGTATATACCTGAAAAAAACACATCTGATATTGTTTGCATATATTTAGAAACCCCTTTCCACGAAATGGAGAAAATTTTCATTGCAATAAAATAATACATCTTATTGAGCAAAATTATTGGAAGATATGTTGAATTACTTGTATAATCTTTAATTACAATATAAATTTATAAGAAAATCATGAAGAATTTTTATCAAGAGAAATAAGCATTTTACAGTTTATTTAAAATTTTAAATGACATCGGTTTACTACATAAGGAATACAAGGAAAAAATAGAGAAGAAATTGATTATTGTATATATGTTTATAAGGGACTGAATGCATGCAAAACTGATGATATCTTGATAAAATTTATTTTCCCAAAAGGAACACTTTAATGTTCTGGAACTTTCTACAGAAGTACTTGTACAACTCTTCTTAGTATAACAAAGCACAATCAAACATTACCACTTCAAACTATTAATAATGTTAAACACAACACAATGCAAATGACGAAGCTTGCACAATCTCCCTGTACTACAAAGTCAGCTCTGAAATATAAACTGAGAATTGAAGCTCTCTTTGGGTTTATATAGTTTTCCCCTGGCCACCAAGAAATCTTTAGTACCTTCCTTCCATTTCTTAAAATTACTGGAAGGCATATAAAGTTACATACAAGGAAGGGCTGCATAAGGTTATACTTACATATAGGGATGAATTGCAGTTATCTAATTACAGCTATACTGGGAACAGACCAAAACGTCACAAGTTTAGCGACTTTTGACAAAAATTAGTCACCAAAATCATCACCAGCTTGCGAATTTTGCAACATAGCCATTCACCTCAATGTTAAATAGACTTGCACCTGTAATCTGATTTTTGCAGCAGAGCATCACTCTCTTCAGACTGTTCATGTTACATTATACAAAAGATATTATAAATTCACATATAATTTCACTAAAATTGCTTACATACATACAAAATTCATAACAATATAAAGCAACGCAATTAATTATTGCTTTTTCCAAATTCTAAAAATGCCATATAGTTTAGATCAGGGTTTCTTAAACTTTTTGGTGAGGGAACCCCATAATATTTATGAAAATTTTGTGGGACCCCATAAGCATTGCGGAACTCACGACACACACGTGAGTGAAACTGTCCGTTTCTTCACTTGTACTGCAATATACTACAGCAGTTTAATTTTAAGACATAGAACAATGTAAAAATTTTAAGTATGTAAAAAATTAAAAAATATAATACAACAATAAAAATAAATTCAGTTACTTGTGTAAATTCAAACATTAACTACAGTCTGTCCGTTAAGTGTAGCCACTTAGAAAACCCAATTTACTTCTAACAGTGCATATGTGAGGATTAAGAATCAATGGGAAGGAAATGCCCCTTTATTTTTAATTATATTATCAAATCTTGGTACAATAGTTGACACCACAGGACGAAACACTTCTTCAATATTCTTTACATTTGATCGACACTTTGATTTTATGAAGGTTAGAGATGAAAATGTTGTAGGAAAAGATAAAAGAAAGTTTATGACAGTTTGAGAAATTGCTGGAAATTCTTCTGAAACTCCTAGCCAAAAATCTTCTAAGGACTTCATATTAAAATCAATTTTCAACCCTGAATCATTTGATAACTTAACAAGTTCTCCTTGTGGTTTTAATGGTAAATGTGTAATATTGGTAAATAAGTAAATGATAATGGTAAATAAGTAAAATTCCTCATGAACACAACCTTCAACAATATATCTAACATACACTAATAATTAAGCCAAGTTGGTAATATCAGTTGATTCATGTAACTGAATTGCACACTTAGGACACATTTTGAGCCTAGTTATTAGCTGCTGATGTTGATCTTCATTAATTTCCAAAATTTGCTTTGGAACAGTATCATTGGATAATGTAATTTTACGGATTTCATTCATGTACTTTTTGCCAAGAACTATTTCAGACATCTTAATAGTAGCCAGCAATATTAGATTTTCTCAAACTAAAGAGCCCCACCTTTTTTTTTTTTTTTTTTAATTAAATAGGATGCTTTATAAGACGCAAGTAAATACTTTTCATTCACAGTAACAAAGCTCTCAAAGTCAAATTTTTGCTGATTTGATGATTTCAAAAGTCATTCAAAGTATTCTTAGGATTTCTTACAGTAGGTAATACGCTTTGTACTGAGATGACACTTTAATTTGGTGGTTTTCATGCCACAACCAAAACTTCTTTACAAATTAAGCATAATGGCTTTTCAATTCCAGCATAGTTACAATAAGTAAAACCAAATTCCAAATATGATTTATCATATTTTCATTTTCTTGTATTTTTAACTCTGCTCGTGCTAGGTACTAGAGATAACTTTTCATTGTTTTCAGTTTTCTTATCTTGATTAACTAAATTCAACCATTTATCCATGATTTGTAAAAATATTTGATAGCAATTATTGTTGAGAAAACAAGAGGACTGTTTAAGATAGACATTTATCCAATCTTTCAGAAGACAAGAAACATCAACTCTTTGTTGCATTCTGTAATTCAGAAGCACTCAATATATAATAACTATAACTTATAAGTTATGTACTTGCTAATGAAACAATCGTTAATAAAAATGGTAAAAGCGACATAATGCTTGTTTTATAGCACATATTCAGAGTGAAGACAATAGCACATCTTCATACTGAAGGGGCACTCAAACGTGTGAATAATCTGCATAGAATGGCTGAACTTCGGACACTGACGAGACGGCTGAACTCAATGGCTCAAGTCAAAGACGGCCTAGCCCACATACACTACCCAAACACTCGGATCTTGCACAAGCAAGGCCTTAGACGAACCAAAAGCATCACATGCAAAGCCAGTAAAATGAACATTTCTATTATAAAAAAAAAAAAGGATCCAAACATTTAATTTTTTTCTTTGTCTGAATAGTGTTATCTTTATTATTTTTCAAACATATTGTATAAAAATATAAGGTAATTGTAAAATTTTTACAATAAGTAAAAGAAATATCCAAACTGATATAATTTTTGTTGACCCCAAATGACATAGTGACCCACAATTTTAGAAACTCTGGTTTAGTGACAAATCTTTTGTATCCAGTGTCTTATGCATCCTTTAATATGTCAAGTTCAAAAACAAAAATTTACAGTATATCAAAATGACACATCATTCAATTCAGCTAAGCTTGTCGATGTATATGCTGGTGGTTTAAAGCAGCTTTTTTAATTTTAAAACGTATCCTTCTTTACACAAATGAAAATTTCAGTATTTACATATTAATAAACCACCTTGATACAATTGAGCAACAGATTACAGATGAAAAGAATGATGGCATAAATCATGGTTGAATCAGGTGCAAAAATTAATTTTATTACACATATATTTTTCATTCTAATTAGGTAGTTATCCTGTAAATCAATCAGTAAAGTTACTTGTAAGCTAGTTTTTATTTCTTTTGCATTCTTGGAAATTTCATGGTGATTGCTTTAACAACAGATTGGCAACAATGGCTCCTTTAGGCAATTTTGTGGCAAAATACTATATTCCTACAGAGCTTTTACTGCAGTTTATTCTGTTACTGACAAATTCCGCAACATATATTCTAAAACTGAGAAGGATATAAATATTACATTTTGTCTATAAAAGCCATTAGAACTTGGAATACAACAAAAATAACATATAAAAAAATAACAATGTTGCTTAACTGAAGAATTGCTATGAATGTGTTTTTCAGAATTTTTTCAAAAATTCCTGAAAATTTGGTAAATTCTATTAAGGCGATTGTACTATCTATGTACCAAAATTTTAAATTATCTCCAAAAACCTGGTTTCTGAATTAATTTTCCTATCAAAATTCATGAAGAAATTCTTTGCATTTTTCTATTAGATTTCAGAAAACACAAGCTTGTTTTAAGCTGCACTTCTTAAATAATTTCTTTCTATCTTGTTCATTAAATAGTCAATTTAAGAATTGTTCAGATGAAAATTCAAATCAAATAAACAAAGTTAAAAAAAGTATCAGGACTCATTAAAATATATCTTATAATATTTTGAGTTTTCACAGACATTAAATGAAAACAAGGACTATGACAACAATGGATGAAAAATAATAGGTTATCCACACTTGCCTTCAAGTATAAGATATGATCATCACTAGGTCCAATATTAATAATATTGAAGGAAACTGAATTTTGTATTTCAGTTTTAGCATATCACAATTCAAATGAATACCACCTTTAAAATTTTTTAAAGTCACTATACACCATTTGAAAATTTAACTTTATTGATGCCATTCACAATGCATTAAATACGAGGGCTATCCAGAAAGTAGATTACGTTTTGGAATAAAAAAATAAACAAAGTATAGAAAACAAATTTTATTATTACAGAGTGACGCCCACTAAAATACTCTTTTCACATAGTCACATACAATTAAGGCATTACGTAGCGATGTACAGCTTGAAATTCCTTCTCGAAGAAAAGTCGGCCGCCTGCGCCTTCTACCACTCGTTACCTATTCTTGCAGCTGGCGTGGTCGTCATAAAACGTGCATAGCCAGCCACTATGCATTGCTGGGAATAGGTGGAAGTCGCTCGGTGACAGGTCGGGACTGTACGGAGGATGGAAAAACTCCACTTAAAAGATCAAGAACTTACGAGTGACATTTGCGGGTGGGGCCGGCGTTGTCGTGAATCAACAAGATCTTAGAGCTCAACATCCTTGCGCTGTTTGAATGTCTTCTGGTTTTGGAGGTTTGCATACCTTGAAGTTTATTGAGTGCCTATTTCCAGGAAGTCACCCAATTACACCTTTTCTGTCCCAAAAAAACAGTCGCCATCATCTTCCTTGTCCGAATTGTTTGAAGCATTTCTTGGGTTTGGGTAGAACTTGTGCCCACGCATTGATGAATTTCGTTTCACGTTCACATGTTTCACCATGTTTCACCAGTCACGAGCGATCGAGTAACGAGTCACCATCCTTATGGTAACGTCAAAAAGTTCAACCCTGCAGCCATTCGCTGATTTTTTGTGCTGGGCCTCTGTCAAGATTTTTGGAATAAATCGATACAAACTGGTGGTAACCAAGCTTTTCGCTGTGATTGAGTGAAACAAATTCGCGAATTTGTGGAAACTCAAAGAAGTTCCGTTATTGTGAATTCGATTTCACGG